GCCCACGCTCATACTTGGTTAAAAATCAACAACAAAACAACCTATATGTGAGCACACCGTTAGCTCAGTTGGTATCATGCTGGACAACGGAGCGAATAACTCTGGTTTGAATTCCTAATAGGATGACCTTAACTTGGGTAGCTTAAGGGGGGTTTTAAGGCTCTCAAACCATTTGGCTCGTTTCTATCGGCGGACATGGACGTTAATATTCGGAGGTTCTGAAACTTAAAAAAAAAACAACCCATAGCTTGCGGTGTTGGAAAGGGAGTTAAACTTTTTACAAAAATGACGATGACAAAGAAATAGGCACAAAAAGAGGGTTACGAATTACGTCTACTTACTTCAGAGCACTGAAAAGCGCCGAGTGAAGTCGTATATTGTCACTTTTAAGGACAAGCGGGCTAACCCAGATTTCGGGGGTGTCCAGAAATCTTGATCAACACCAAAAGTGAGAATTGGGCCTCCCCCATGGGAGAAGTTTGGTTTCAATGATGTGTATATTTGTTTGGATAGAGAAAACTCTCCTTGTCTTTTATTAACTTTTAAAGAAACTGAACAAGGAGCAAAAACTTTACCTTCGATTTTCTCAAAACAGCATTTTTCGGGATAGCCCCTTTGTACCTAAAAGCGACCATATACACGTGAAGTGGAAGCCCAGCGCACTCGTTTATGCTTTCTCATAACTGGCTGAAATTGAAAATGTGAATTTGCTTTGTTTTACCTCTTCACAAATTAGGCCACCACCCCTACCCACCCACTTTTTCTTTCCGTCTCTCCTCTAGATGCACCCTCTTGCATTTGCATGGATATTTTTTCTTTTAGTTCACCTACTGAGACTCTCCAGCCCCTCCTTCATTCTCTGTCTCTATCTCTTTCTCTCCCTCTATCATCTTTTCTCCTTCTCCACCACCAACTCCCCCTCTTTCTCTCCTCCCCCTCCTCCTACTACTACAATTTTTAAAATCACTGACAAAAAGTATCCAAAGCCTTACTAGGATTCCATTTCAATCTGTAAATAAACCCACAAAAATTTACTTCAACACCCCCCCTCCCAAACCTGTAAAAATCACATTCTGTACCTAGTGTTTTAGCTCAGTTCTCAGGTTAACATTACTAAAGTATTAAAAATAATGTAGGGGCCTACCAGGCTAAAGGTACTATTATGAAACATAATCACTTGACATTCAAAAAAGGAATACCCAAAGTCAGAGTACTGTAACCAAAGGGGCATGATTATCATTGATAGGTGCCAAGTTTGGTACAGTTTCTTTAAAGTAGTATACGTACAGTGTTTGTAGAATTTCAGATCTCTGGAGAATGACGAGCTGGCCTACGTTCATATACATACACTGTAAAGCTGATAGTCAGAAAAACAAGTGTAAGTTAGTGTACAAGTTTTCACCCTTATCAACACTATTACGTTATAAGTGGACCTCTGAATTTAACGTTCGTCTCCTATAGGACTGAACCAAATGGGTAGAAAGCCTTGAAAACTCAACAAAACGACCCAAGTTCAATAACGCCCAGTCAAGGTTTCGAACCAGGACCATCCATCCATAGTCCACAATGATACCAACTGAGCTAATGGCACACCCAAAGGTCAGAAACAGAGTGCTGATAGGCAGAACAAGATAAACTACCAAGCCCCAGATAACGAAAATGCAACGTTCATCAAATCAAGGTCAGACAATCGATAACAACTGGAGAGCTTATAGGTTAATATTACCATCTTCAGTTGTCATTTCAGTAAATAAATTGGGCTTTGAATAGCTGAACAACACTGTTGTAATCAAAAGGTGAAGACCCTCGTTATCTGACAGTGTACGTTTTGGTCATGTAAAACATTGTCGCAGCTCAACGTACGCCTCCTCAGTGCAAGATTCCCATTCACTTAAGTCAAGTGTGGGCCATCCAGGTTCAAAAGGGAACATCCTCGAACAATGAATCTATAGTTCGGCTTTCCTTTGATCTTGGATGTTCTGAAATCCTTCCAACAATGAAATCACAAGTAATATCTTCTCTCTGTCTCTGTTTCCCTCCAACACACAAACAAACACACACAACACACACACACACAAACATGCATAATCATATGATCTTATTACACTGACAATATCAATAATATTGTTCTTAAAAAATGACAAGACAATACATGAACACTATTTAAATCAGAACTGTTTCCATTTTGAATTTATTGCATATCACCCTTTGTATCAAAAGTCAACGGGCCATTGAAATTCCAATTCCAATTTTAATTTGAGGATGGGGAAAACAATGGAATGTAGGAGAAAGAAATTATGACTCGGTTTCATCAAAAAGTGATTGTGGCACACCAAAAAAGTTAAAACAGAATACATAAGATTCAAGCTAAAAGTATTATGTGCAGATTAATAATTTAAACCACATGTCAACTGCATCTGAAATAATGCCTGGAAAAAATTGGGAGAAATTTAGATTAAGTATTGGTAACGCCCTCATAACCTTGGTGGCAAAAATCTGTGATTTTTCATCAAGTTCTAAAAGGTTACAGTTTAAGGGTTACCTGTCACTCAGTGGTTGAACGTTGGGGAGATAGACAGTAAGATTTCAACAATTTGTCTGCATTGGTGCTCAAATACCCCCCCAAAAATAGCCAAAATTGAAAGAAACCCCCGCCAAACAAACCCACAAAAAAACAAAAACAATACACTTCCAAGTGTCTCTCTTTGGATTAAATAACACAATTATTTCTTGAGGAAATTGAAGTCATAATTCTTCAATGGCATCTTGGAGCACAAGTTCAGCTGAGAAAATAAATCCATAATCAACAGGGGCAGCAGGAATTTGACATTTCTACTGCACAAATGATGAGCAAATAACATATGTGATTGTTCAGTTCACCTGTGTGGTCATGTGTGGTGTGGTGTATGTGTGTGTGTGTACGTGTACGTGTGCGTGCACGTGTGTGCGCGCGCACATGATTTTTACGTGTGCTTGTATATATATATAATATGTATCTATGGCAATGTTTTGAGTATTTAAGCCTCCAAGCATATATGAGCATGAGAGTCCCTTTTTCAAATTGCCCTTCGGAACTTGGAAAATACAAAAGTATGAAACCAATGGGATACCGGTAATAAATACATGTCAGTGTATACTTATCAATAATAATCTCTAATCACTCTTTTAATCAATCCCACTCCAATTTAACATATATCAAAACATAAATCTTTGCACTATAAAAAAATTCTGGTAACAACCTTTCAAGTCAAATAATTTACATATAGGCCTACATTCTTACTAAAAGCTTTCTCTTCTGTACAAATACAAAACACAAATCCACTTAGATGGATTAAGAATTGACTAGTGAAGCTCTAAAACTTAATAATTTGAGAGGTAAAAACTAAACCTGCAACTTGGTCGTTCCGACAATGTCACTACAACCAAACCATAGATTATTCAGCTTTTAAAAGAAAATGTCAATGCACACTCATGAGAATCACTATGTTATGAGCTACAAATAGCCTACAGCAAAACAAAACAAGAATAAAACTATCAACAGACTTTATGCGTTTTGATTCTTCAAGCAATCCGTCTTTCATTGACCACAAGAATATGTGTGGTCCCAGTGCAAGCAAACCATTGAAAGCTATGGAGAAAGGATATTTCTTTGGAAATTGTGCAGTGTGGAAAAGGGAAGAGAACACAAAAAAGGCTCACATAGACTCAGTAGCCAGAGAGTGACAAATTGTTTATCCTTCACAAATTTATACACTACACTCAGCAGTGATGCCACAGTACATTTTCAAGGCTGTAATCTTATAAAGGATCACTGAAATTAAAAGTAAACAGTTCTGGAAATGCCATTGAATGTAGACAGAGCAATGAGCTATAAGCTCCTAAACAAAATCATGAAAAAGTACCAACATAAAGAATTTCTTCAAGTTGCTACACATATTATACTTGTTCTCTTGCCTTTGGCAGTGAGAATATGACCACAAAAACTATAAACAAGGCACTTCAACTCGCACTGCATACCACCTGTGTATGCATTCAATCACAGTGTCCTAGCCCTAAACATACAACTTTTGAGAACATCGTCTAAAGGAGACCTGAACATACCATGGGAGTGAATGACTTTTGTAGAAATACATATTTAAAAATGTGTATACAAAGACTGTACTTTAAGAAAGCGTTGAGTTTTAAGAGAAAATAGGGGAGAAGGGAAAGGGTCTTCGACTCAAAAAATGATGGGCTGGGCTGAAAATACTCTGATCACCAGTGAAAGCCAAATTCTTTCAAATAAAGCATTTTGATTTTAATAGAAACACACACAAAATGTATAAAATTGGTAGTTCAGATATCCTTGGTCATAATGACAGTGAATGTAATTGACAAAAGAACAACAGAATTCTAGTTCCCCTTTTACAGCCATTAAGAGTAAGAGTAATAACTCTTATAACAACATAGTTCCTGTCTCCCACAGCACAGCATGCTTTCTGTCTTCCTGGGCATCATAAAATATTGAAAGACAATACAAAAACAAAGACTCTGACACACCAGTATTAATTAAGTCAACAGAAGTGCTGCTTAACATACACTCTCATTTAGTTTTTCCACACAACTGATGGCAGTGGCACAGGCCATATACATATATATATATATCAACACTGATAGTTGTTTTTCTGAAAATATTGCACCCGTTTTAACTGGCTGCTCTAAGACAATATATATTAAAAGAAATCATCAGGTAATGCAGTTATTTTTCCTAATTTGTATTTTTCATTTGATGTCTTTTTCATCCTTAAAATGTAAATCTTGTCATCTCAATTTTCAGATTTTGTGACTTTCAAAACAGTAAAAGGAGGAACATCCAAACATCAGCTCTGACTCTTCACTGTTAACACTTTCAAAAACTAAAATTTCAACAGCCATAACTTACAAATACTTTCTTTGAACGAGTCACCAAAGACAAAAAGATTTCTAATTTGCTGTTGTTTTATACTGGCGATATGACCCCCCCCCCCCCCCCCCCCCCAAAAGTGTTCTTGATGGACGGCAAGGTAAAGAGTGTACTCAAAATGTATCTGCTCTGCTTGGACTCAAGTTGTCTGGAGATGCAGTTTTTGATTTGAGTCATAAGGACAACATCCTTATTCTTCGAGGCAGTAGACATTCAAATGCAGATCACGTCTCTGTAAAGACCCTGAGTGAGGGTTTTAGGGCTGCCCTCAACATCAACAGATCATTCCAGAAGGTTCAGTATTTTATAGGGACGTAAGTCATGTGATCTGACAATCCTGAAGCAGTTGGCCCACTGTGAAGTCATGGAGTCACTTATACAACTCCTTCTTGACCCGCTATAAACAAAAAAATAAAACACACAGCAATCTGTTCCTTGCCCATTGCAGATTCACAGAATACACATTCACCATCTTACTGAATGAGCTGGATTTGTAGTACGCAAACGGGTAAAAATTCCAATTTGTAGAACACAAACAGGAAAAATTTGCATAGTGCATGGCTTTTACAGCTATTTAGAGATCTTGTCAACAAGAATGGAGGACGCATGAAGAAACACTGGTTGTAAGATGAATTCCACTTCAAAACCAAACAAGTTCCGTGCTGGACTAGTTCAACACACGTGCCTTCCATGAAAAGTCTCTTCTACACTTAATCCTTGTGAAGTTTCTTGATGACCAGTCCAGGGAGGAGCGCGGCCAGAGCTGCCAGGGACATCTTGAGCATGGTCCCCGTGGAGAACACATCGCTGACCGAGCTGATCTCCGAGAGTACACTGCCCGTTTGGACACATATGAAATTGTAGGGCATCAGACCTGAGAGAGACAAGACATGATTAAGTTAGAGTTTAAGTAAGGTGAAGCAAACAAAAAAACAGGTAATGGCCATTAAGTGCTCAGAAAAAGTAGTACAGACAGACAGAAAAAAACAGGTAATGGCCATTAAGTGCTCAGAAAAAGTAGTACAGACAGACAGAAAAAAACAGGTAATGGCCATTAAGTGCTCAGAAAAAGTAGTACAGACAGACAGAAAAAAACAGGTAATGGCCATTAAGTGCTCAGAAAAAGTAGTACAGACAGACAGAAAAAAACAGGTAATGGCCATTAAGTGCTCAGAAAAAGTAGTACAGACAGACAGAAAAAACCAGAGAAAGTAAAGGAGCGTACACTAAACACCCAATGACATGACAGGTACATGAGCTGATGATGTTGAAGCAGTAGTTGATATTGTCATTTTTAAGGACAGTCAGGACTTTTCAAACGGTCACTTGAGTAGGGCATTAGCATATTCCGACAACAGTCAATAAACATGGGCTACAACAACACATGTTCAATAGTTTTCAAACTTAGAAAAGCAAATTTAAAAGGTGTCACTCAGCTTTATCAAAATATGAGATATGTATTAGCCAAAAAAAAAAAATGCTCCTCAATAGGAGATGGGGCTTCAGAAAATGAATGTGACAACACATTTTAATTTTAAGCCATGTACGAATACCAAGGTTTAACTGTATTTTTATACGTAAATTCTCATCTGTCGGTAAGTATAGAAATACCTGCCATAGATTCCAAAATTTGCTATTCGGAAAATATTAACCTTGCAGATGACTTCCATGAGGCTTTTTATCTGTAGGAGTTTGTAATTTTGAGACAATAAATTTTGATTTGGCATTGCAAAGTTTTAAGTTAAAATACTCTGAGGACTTACTTAATAGGTTTTGGCAGAGTATAAACCAGCCCTGTTGTTTAATAATTGGTGAATGTGTTTATCCTAGGACCCACTCAACCTGCTCCTCAATGCAAAGAACGGTAGAGTGATTGCATAGATAAAACTATTCCATTATATAAAAATGAAAGGAGATTTGTTGTCACTTTTTGCTATAAAAAACAACAACTTGAATCTGCATGCAATCTTGAGGAAGAGAAATGAAAAGCCGAACAGGTCAACAGGTTCGATTGTGATAGGTCCCTTATGATAAAAACAAAACAATTATCACGATTCCCCAGTAGCTGTAAACACTTTACAGAACTTGAGTCTTTTCATTTCGGACGAAGACAGTTTGGACAGTTTCATTTTTTCCCATACAACTGATAAGCTGATTAAGATAGTTTTGAAAGAGAAACTAGACGAAGTTTCGTTGTTGTTGTTTTTTTGTACAACTGATAACATGCTTTAATACGTTTTAAAAGTGAATTTATCAAAGAGACAAGTTTATAGCTTATAACATCAAAGATTCATTTGTTTGAAAATACGTGTGTGTATCCAGAAAATAACAATGTTCTTTGAAAAGGTGTTGCTAAAAAACCGCTTGAAGTGAAAAGTTTTTTTTTTTAAACTCCCTGGTTCAATTCTAGTTTTGACCATATATTTTAAATTCCTAATCCAAAATTACACAAATTAGCTTTTCCTTTAATACTGTCACTGTGTATTGTTTTATTGTCATTGAGTATTCCCTCTCTCTAACTGGATGCCAGGTATCGTTATACGAGTAGGTGGATGTGTGCAGGTGAATTTATGCATCAGAGTATGTGGGCGCATGTGTTAATGGAGTAAAAAGAAAGTGGATGGTGTAAGATAAAGTAAGAGTGAGAAGAGAGAAAGACAGTGAGAGAGAGGGAGGGAGGGAGGGAGGGAGGGAGGGAGGGAGGGAGGGAGAGAGAGAGAGAGAGAGAGAGAGAGAGAGAGAGAGAGAGAGAGAGAGAGAGAGAGAGAGAGTAAGAGTAATAGTAATAAATAGATGTCGTTGAGGGGTTGTATCTGTGTGGTTGTATTTTTGCTCAGTAGCTCAGTACACTATTATTATAAAACGATACATTTGTGCTGTTTCTGTAAAAATTAAGCCCCTAGAGCAGCACTCGCTTTACATAACATCATTACCTATAAGCACCGAGAGGAAGAACAGATGAATTGGAATCCCAACAAGAGGGGCTACGACGTTCATGAACCAGTTGGGAGACATCGGGAACAGTCGCAGGAACAGCAGAAAGAAAAACAAGCTGTCTTTGTTCTCTTCCACCTGTGAAGATAATTCAAGGCACCATAAATCTACTGCCCAGAGTGAAACTCCGATGTAATACACAGTGAAACACGGATAGCTCGAATTAGCCAGGACTGGTCCCGGAAGTTTGAGGGATCCGTAGTTCTAGGGATATCTTACATTAAAGTTAAAGAAGAAAAAAATAAGGCACTGCAGGCACTGTTCGACAGATGCAAGATTTCGAGTCTTCTGTGTTCGACCTATCCATGTCATACTGTATGTCACTTTTCAAAACAGAGTACAGCTGAGTCTTACGCTAAGCAGTGGAAATGAGTTTGAGAAAAAAGAAGCCCATTTATTATATCGATAACAGCCATTTAGTTAACTTTGTTTACTTGGGTAAAGAAGAGCACATTGACGCAATAACGGTGGTCATTTAGTGATGGAACGAGTAAAGCAAGACAGACAGACAGACAAAAACAACAGAGGTAGAGAAAAGAAAGGCGCCCTTCAATAACCCATAGCAGCAGTTTCCTACAGTGAAAAAGTATGTCAGACACGTAAAAGAAAACAGTGGGAAATCTAAAAAGTAGGACCTACAGTGGCACCCTCCAATCACACACATGTTTAAAATAAACACAGCAAGGAGGAGCACATAATGCTTAGGAAAGGAAAAAAAGAGGTCTTGATGAGTTGTAGTTTATCGTAACTTAGTCTATAACCACAATAGAAACATTCGAAAAATGAAGGAGCAGACAGTATATCACCGAATCAAGGACAAGACAAAATATGTAAGCAACGGAAGCATCAACAAGCATTCTTAAAGATTTCTTAAAGAAGGAGCATACAATGTACTTTTTGATTGGGCATGTGTGCATATGTGTCTGTTTGCGCACACATACATGCTTGCGCACACGTGCGTGTTTGTGCACGTATGTGAGTGTGCGTGTCTGTGTCTGTGCGTGTGAGTGTGGGAAAGAGACAGCAAAAGGCTAGGGTCAGCAGACAATAGTATGAACTGAAGGAAAGATTAAAGCTGTAGTGCTGACAGACAGGGACAAACAAGAGCATAGAAGCAAAGCAAACCAAAAAAGTGCTCCAAGAATGACATTCATGACAGAAAAAGAGGTGAATGGTGGAAATGGAAAACAAAAACAAAAGAAAAAAAGGAAACATAAGTCAAAGAAAGAAAAAGAGTTGGACAAAAACCAAACAGATTAACAAAGACAATTTTAAAAAAAAATGCAGACAAACAAAAAAATAGAAATAAAGTTATTGAAAACATTCTGACCTTTTCTTGAAAGAACTTGACTCTCTCTGGGAAGTACTGAGTGACATAACTCCTACCAAAAGTCCTAGAGAGCAGATAACAATTTGTTGCCCCAAGGGCTGTCAGTGGACTGGCCAGCAGAAAACCCAAGTAGGGTCCAAATAACGCTCCAGCGAGTAAATTCTGAAAGGGGAAAAACAACAGATGACTGTATGAAGACTAACACTCAGCCCTCAATCACACTTGGAGAAAAACTGAAAGAGCTCTGGGTTTTTTTTTAGAGCATTACAATGTTTCATTTCAGTTCTACACAGCTTCAGAATGTAAATTTATGGATAATGATACCTTCAAATCACATATCAACAGCATTCACTGTTCAAAAAAAAAAATTTTTAACATTATATACGGTACACTAGAAACAATTCTGGACATCGCTGTGGAGAGCGAAAAAGACTAAAAGGATTGACATGAAATCATAGGGGGAGAATCTGTAAGGCAGTTACAGTCACAGGTACCACAGAAATGGAGAACCAAAATAATAGAGGGTTATTTCTTAAGAATATCACTTTTACCAAGTTTCCCCATAAGGAGTCATGAAGCATGTAACAACAGGTAAAACATACTTTTAAATAATCAGAGATGCAAACTGTCTAAGATTTTTCTAAATTCTGAAGTTTTCATCCCAGTGGAAATATATGCATGCAGGGACTCAAAATTTACAGATCATTATGTCAAATACATCTTGTCTCAAGACTTTTCTTGTACAAAAGGTTGAGCAAAATCAGGACAATTTCAGAAGTCCAGATTTAAGGATTTATCCACAAAATCAGCACCTCTGAATAATATACAGTGAGCACCAAGGCCTTTTATATCTTATTTTTTATAACATTAATATTATGAGATGATGTCAATAATGATACTGAAGATGATTACATGATCATGACCATGATCTATGTATAAGCTCTTGGATGAGACCAAAACACTCTCATTACTCAAACCACCAATCCCTCAAACAATTGTCTTAGTAAGAGATTTTTGGCACATGCAACACAGTAAGGTCATACCAGTGCATAAGAATAGAAGAGTTACAAGAGAGTAAAAAATGCAAAAAAAGAAGGAAAGATATGAATGATAGATGTTTCATAAGAAACAAGGAGCAAACCACATCAGAGTACCCACCAACCCTGACAATCTCTTAGAAGAGCCTACAGTGATAGACTCACTCACCAGGAAAACTGAGCCAGGGATGGCAAACGTCTGTTTGTAGATGAAGCCTGCACAGAAGACCAGTAGCAGATAGGCCAGGTGTGTTTCTTTCATGTGGAGCAGGAAGCTGGACATCTGTGTTATGTCCTCTATGCTGGTGGGGAACTTCAGCGCAAAGCTGGAGAAACCAAAGAGACAATTTTACACACGGTAACAGCTGAAGACGAAAAGTAAATAAACAAGCCATAATTTGAAAAATGGAAGAAAGGAAAAGTAACTATTGACCTATTTTACAAGCATGGTCAGTTATGTTCAGACAGACACTCTGCCACAATAAAATTCAAATATTACGATTTTGTTTCAGTAAGGTTTTACAGCACCCACAACTGCATAAGGTCATATGAGCTGCTCACCTCTCTAGCCTCTGCAGCACAAAGTCTGCTTCGACTATAAAGGCACCCCGGAAATACCAGTTCACAAGAGAGTGACAAACATACAAAAGAAGTTGAGGAAAAAATGACGATAGTTAGGATGAGCCCCTATGTTCCGGCACACAATGAGCATGACATTGATAAATCAGCCCATTAAAAATTCTACTGTGCATAAGAACATGTTAATATCCCCCCTTTGGAAATGGCCTACAGTAGCACTGCCCTGAGGGGGTTAATGTTATGAGGAACATCTACACATAAATATCTTTTAACAGTCTGAAAGTTTGCATTCCTGCTAAGTTTCTTCTATACATTGAGCAAAAAAAAAAAATGGACAAAAGTAGTAAGTTGAATACCTGGTTTTCTTGAGCATGGTTTGATTCAAAGACAAGTTATACGTTTTTCTTGTGTATGTAAGCCACCCCGTAAACCAAATTTCCTCAAGGAGATCAATAGAAGAGGAGTTATATTTATTATGTAGTTATTTACTGTTATTTTTGACTCGTCTATGAAGAAAGGGAGGACAAACACAGCCAAACCAAGTAGTGAAATACAATCGTAGACAAGGAAAGCTGTACCCACCTTTTGCCAGCCTCCAGGTCGACAAACCAGTGTGAGAGTAAGTAGAGGCTGACGGTAGCCAGGGAAAAGATCACCGGCACCCACATGATGGACCAGCACAGATGGGAGTTTGGGGAGTGACCGCTGCCAGGAGCCGGGGTTCCCCCCTGGGACGAGGGACTCCGCCGGACCCCTCTGTCAGTATTGTTGTTCTCCATGACTCTCTGAAGCAGCCGTTCCCAGTACGGAGAGATCTGCTGCCAACTGCTGCTGCTACTACTGTTGCTGCTGTTACTACGCCAGCACCTGCATCTGCTGTCCCATGTGATATTTGTAGTACTGCTGCTATTGTTGTTGTTGCTGTCGCGACGGGGATATACTGCTATCAGTTGGTGTTTCTCATTGTGGCATGGGACCAGCTGAAGACCTGAAGAGACAAAGAAAACAATACCAAAAGAAATATTAATAAGGTCGCACATCATTTGAGAAAATGAGCAGAATGCAACAGCATCGTGCATATAAACCCAATCTAAATTGGTGGTTTAACTATTTTTAAAAAGAGGTAAAATCAAATAGAATTGAACCACTCTTCCTCCAATATCACCCCACTCCTAACCCCCTCCCCGGACCTCATTGACTGTATGTGCTTGTCAAACATAGGCAGAATTTATATTTTCTATGTTCTCATTATCAATAGGCCTATAGTAGAAGCTTAGTGCCCCTACCCTCAACGACCATCAAATCAAATGATACTGCGCCTGTTGCGTCTTGACAGAGGTCTTAAAGCCATTTGCATGATACAACTTTTTACCAACTGTTTTAACTTGTTCTTATACCATTAAAAATAAACCATTGTTAAACCCATGAAAAATAAAGAAATAGCGTCATATATTCCGTGATTCCAAACGTATGACAATGTTTCTTCCTTGGAGCATATCATGGGAGTCAAGATCTGAAGAGAGAAAAAAAAAATACATGAGAAATCTAGTTCCTCTATGTCTCCCACCCAGGCAAAGTTATATCATATCCCCCGGGGCAGTGCCACTGACGGAAGTGTCTTTAGGCCATTCCCAAAGGGGGGACATTTCTCGTTCAAGCACAGTAGAATTGTAAATGGGCTGATTCATCAATGTCACGCTTATAACTGTGCCTGATCTACAACAGGGAACTGCTGCTTTTTCTTTCCTGATCCTTACTATTGTCATTTTCCTCTACTTCTTTTGTATGTTTGTCACTCTCTTGAGACCTGCTATTTTGGGGTGTCTTGATAGTTGAAGCAGACCTTGTGCTGTTGAAGCTAGAGAGGTGAGCAGTCTAAGTCTGATTCCCCGTAAAGACTTCTCTGTTGACACCCACCCCTTGGCGCTCATATGACCTTATGCAGTTGCGAGCGCCGTAAAACCCTCTACTATTTAAAAAAAAATTCTTTTAAGTTGTATCATTCATATATGGCTTTTTTTTCACATCCTTGAATTGAAATGCCAAACAGTCACTTAATCGATCGTATAAATTTAAGCATATGCTCACATGGAAGAAGGCGGCAAACAGTTTAAAAGGTGCCATAATGACAATGTTATTGACAATAATATATAGATATTTATATTCAAAGTACGGTTTAACAAGATATTGGACTGAACTCTGTCACTTAACTTACTGTAACAAAGTCGAAAAGCGCTGTTAAATTTCGGTCTTTTCACTTGTAGTGAATCCTCATCCATTGTCTTCACACACGAAACAAGGGAAAAGCAAATGATTTTATTTCAAGTCACTGCGTGGAAAAAATGGAATCGCATCAGAACACACCAACACAACTTGACCTCTTCATACACTCTGAAAACACGACTGGTCGGGATTTATAAACAACCCAGAAAATCAAATTCCAAACAAACTGAACTCTTGTTTATAAAGGGAGCTTCCGATAAGCGAGTCACAGCCAGCAGCAAGCTAGAGATAGCATAAACGTCCTTAACAGTCCCAAACAAAACATTCAGGGACAACAGCAGCACCAAGTTCAAAACTACAACCGCGGAACTGAAAACCCCCAAAGACAAAACAAGAAACAGAAATTCTCAACACAAGTTCTGTTGCCAGGAGGTAGCAAAGGAAAATGCCGTTGTGCGATATCGTTGCTGCTTTATCGGTTTTTGGGTTTGACTCTTCCTTTTTTTTTTTCCTTTACTTTTACTCCGCACCCCTGAGTCACCAGCACGACCCACCAGCGCTATGGGCCCATATATGATGTGCTACGATATTTCCTCACCTCTCTATGATGAGTCAACCGTGACGAGAAAAGAAAATTGCTTAATACCACACCCGATCTATGTTTAGTATCGCCGATATGAGGCCTCAGTAGTAGAAATGTTTGAGCGAATGAAGCACTCCTCTAGACAGGGAATTCCTTTCAAGAGACGATTTCATTTGACACAAACTTAATATGCATGGGGTAAAAGCACACTCTTCCCAAGTCGAACACACAAATCTTGACTATGTCCTCAAACTGCTCTCAAGAAAACTCCCAGTTCGTTCTCTTTTATACACGGCGTGAGCAAAGACACGGATCTAGCCTGCACGACATTGCACTGACGTAGTAGTAGTAGCTGAACAAAAAGCGCATGGGTGTCAATCGGTGTCAGTTCAACTGAACGCAAAGAAACAAGCCCACTCAACACAGAGGAAGAATGCGATATGTGGGTCACACAAAAACCAACACCAATCTCGGTGGCACGATAACAATGATGAAGTCAAGTCTTAACATAACGGAAAGCTATACGGATCCACCTGAAAGTTGATACACGTTCATAAACATAACTTGATCAAAAACCAAATCCGCATAACACGTACTTGACTGAGGAGCCGTCTGACCACAACGCTTGGGACACTTGGTTCCTGCACACCTCGAGCACCACAGTACACATAAAAACAAAGTGAATCCGCTCTAGTGATCATGTCTGATCGATGCAGAATTAACCAAGTGTGTGGGTTTACCGCCCCTTTTCACACTGCTACTATTAGAATTATTTACTGACCGAAGAACCCGCACACTGGGCAATATTGGTACAGCATGGTTCACTGGCCTTACATTAAGCGATGCCCTTGACCTACATGCGTGTAAAGGGCAGGCTCCCGATCTTCGGACTCCATTCATTCCAAAGATCATAATAGACTAATAAGTTCATATGTCCCACGAATCTTGTTATCGCAGGCCAGGTCGTTATCGCTTTACTTGCTATGTATGCAGTCATTTCATTAACCGTTCGCTACCTCAGAACTACAAAGTTCTACCTGACAGTTTTTGCCGTTTTGAGTTACTAAGACCTTGAGGTCAGAAGCCAAATGTTCTATTTTCTCTATCAAAATCGTAAGATTATTCGGAGTCGTTACCAAGATATTCAAAAGAACTGCATTGACGTTGTGCAACTCAAAGTTTTTTAAGTCAAATTTCTCAAAACTAGGCACTGGGCAGATAAAACTAATTCCGTTAACTTGTAGGGAGTTGTCTCACTAGTAGTTGACGTTGTGTAATATACAGTGCAATTGCAGTTGTTTTACCAATAACAGGTGTTTTCAATCCACCAACCTGTGAAATTTAGTACCTCTCTGTAAAATTTAATTCTATATTACAATCGAAAGCAGCATGAAACGTGACACATCCCCCACAATCACAGTCCATAAGGGTCCGGTAAGAAAGACGTAGAAATCTTCGAATGAACTCTCGTCTTGATTAAATAGGGGAGCAAATACGGAGCCTGTTAAAATCTCCCCCAAAGCACAAGACGTACAAAAATCCTTACGAGAAATTGAACCCAGCAGGCCACAACATAAGCCAAGCTTTTTAATTAACTGAACTAATCGCCATTCTGCCTTTTATAGCTGACACGCAGCCCTTCCATACGGTACTCAGCCGTGAAGAAGTACGTTTCATCGGTACTGGAGTACAGACACACTAGGTTCACTAAACCATAAAATAAATAATCCATGCCTAACAAGAAAGTTAAATAAGGTGACAGACAACTAGTATAATGATCAGTCAGCTATAATAGTGACAGCAGATCTCGCACAACCGCGGAGCCAGCATTTACTCGTACTAACTACAGATTCGACCTATTTAATTTATATCAATAAATGGTCGCTTTTAAGCACAAAGGGACTATCCCGAAAAAAAAGCAGTTTTGAGAAAATCGAAGGTAAAGTTTTTGGACCCTAGTTCAGTTTCTTTAGAAGACAAGGAGAGTTTTCTCTATTACCAAATATACACATCAATGAAACCAAACTTCTCCTATAGGTAGGGCAATGCCCACTTTGGTGCAGATCAAGATTTCTGGAAACCCCCGAAATCTGGGTTAGCCAAGGAGCTTAAACTCCTTGGGGTTAGCCTGCTTGTCCTTAAAGCGAACAAATAAATGTACCGCTACTGTACAGAGTTCTACAGTTTCTTTCCAATTTGGGTGTTTTCACGCCCCCGCCATTGACACAAGTTAGATCATTTTGGGGGCGGGTTCTCGTCCCTTCCCGTAAGGGCCAACCAGGGGCTGAGAGGGATACAACAACTCAACAGAGAGTAGAAAGACCGAGCTACTCGATAAAATTTATTCCCATTCAAGAGAGTACGAGACGCACAAAGAGTAAATTTAACAAACTATTCATTTGGCAGTTTCAAAGTCTCCACAACTGAGATAAAAACGAAGACGGCAGGGTGTCCATCAAGCTACCCACTGAAGGTACAGGACTGTATGAGATTGCGCATGCAACTTATAGTTACAGAGCGGAGCCTTCGATTCAGCGTCTGTCTGCGATATAAACAAAACCGTTAATAAGTCAAATTCGAGAGTAACCCGTGGGGAATCGAAACACGGTAGCCAACATCGTAGACAAGCAAGTCACCAAAAGTAGTGAGCCACACTGAAATGAAATAAATGTATGTATATACACGCAATATTATGAGCTGCAAGTCAAAATGCTTGAGATCTATTTATCCACATAATAAGGTGTGGTAGATTGAAGAACCCACGCGCGCGTGCGCGCGCGCACACACACACAAAGAGAGAGAGAGAGAGAGAGAGAGAGAGAGAGAGAGAGAGAGAGAGAGAGAGAGAGAGAGAGAGAGAAATCTTTTTGGCCTGCTTATTTTATTTTTCATTTTATCAGTTCTGATTTGTGTAACTCAGCAATAACAGACAGTGAATTTTAACGGTGTAATGGGTAGCAGACGTAACAGGATACAATAATGTCAACCGTAAACAAAACAGCAAACAGCTTTTTTAAAGAAGGTATTTTGCATAATATCGCTTCGAGTATGGCCTGGACAATTTTCAAGTTGGAACATGAATTGTTTACGCGGCAACGCCCCGCCCTCTCTCTGTCTATCGGTCGAGTGTTATCTTCTGAAAAGGACTGGGGGAAATCATTTCTGAGAAACAACGAAAAAATAAGAAGAAAAAAGCAAGTCTCCCCCCCCCCTCTCTCTCTCTCTCTGTATCTCTCTCTCTCTCTCCCTCCCCACCTCTCCCCCTCTCTCTCTGTCTCTCTCTCTCTCCCCCACCCCCCTCTCTCTCTCTATCTCGCTCTCTCCCCCCCCCTCTGGTCTCCCCCCCCACCCCCCGTTTCTCTCTCCACCACTTCTTTCTTGTCTCCCCCCCCCCCACCCGTCTCTCTCTCTCCCCAACTCTCTCTCTCTCTCTCTCTCCTACCCCCACAACCACACCCTAACACACAAACACGTAACATACAATGACATGCACACAGACAACGGGCAGGTACGTATCCACATATCAAGTATCGTTTGCTAAAACGAACAGCCGGGCGGCTTGATGACTCACAATCACACCTTAGGTAGGCTACTTTTCCATTTCCAGTACGTATTTCTTTGTTACCACATTTCTGACGGCATGTTTTTATCTTAATAACCTACTACTGGGCTCTATCTCTAATTTCTAAACCAGTGTGTCACATTTAAACATAAGGCGCGCTACATGTTGAGTGGTTAATGAACAATACAGTGTCAGTCGAGGGTCAGTGGGATAGGTCTCACTGTCATTGATAACTTAATTATCATGGTTTTTTTCTTCTCTGCTGTTCTTCTGTTCGTTATGTTTGTTTTATTATCATCTTAATCCTTTCTTTATGTATGCGTTTTTACACCCCCCCCCCTTTTTTTTGGACACAATTCAAATCATCTGGGAAGCAGGCCAATCCGGGCTGAAAGGGACACACCACCCCATCAGAAAGACCGCGATACTCGATATAAATTCCCCGAATCGCACTCGGGTGCCCTGTGTGCGACAGCGAAGCGCCTACCCGCTACAGCACAGACGCCGGTATTTTATTACCTAAATAATGCCGATGGTGGTGTAAAACTATCACTATTACTATTACAATTTTTGTTCGTTTGTTTTGTTTTGTTCTTCCCAACATGAAAGGGTCGGGTTGTTGTTTTTTCTCGTTGATGAGTTTTAGTTTTCATTACTTTCCCAAAAACTGCATCAATGAGTGAGTGAGATACGATAAGGTCAGCTCGAGGCAAGATGTTGTAGTTGTACTACAACAACTGGCTAAACATAGATTTCTAGTGTCAGAGACGTTGAGTTGACTGCAAGTGCCTCAATGTTTACTAGAGAGTAACACACACCCCTCCCTACCCCCCACCCCCCCCAAAAAAAAGGAGGAGAAGAGATCATAAGAACGATAGATGTTTTAATATCTTAAAGGAAATCAGGTGAAAAACCACAGAAGAGAACCCACCAACCACCCACGATGTGAGGTCAGTTGGAAACCAGTTGGTGAGTTCGGTGTAACCTGCAGACCAGGGACCTGAGAAAAACCTTCACTATCTTGACAAATCTTTAATTATCATACACATTACACACTCGATACCAAAAAGGTAAGAATGATAGATATATTTGATAGGAAAGAAAGGGCTAACCCCACTATAGAGCCCGCCAACCAACCAACCAGGGAGAAAAGCTAGCATCTACTGATATGGGTTTTTAAAAAAAGTTTTAGTAAGTGTTTTACGACACTTGCAACACAATAAGTTCATATAAGTGCCGAAGAATAGAGGTGTTACAAGACAGTAATAAACACAAAAAAGAAGGAGAGATAAACACGATAGACGTTTGATAGGAAAGAAGAAGCAAACCACACCAGAGCACCCGTCAACCACCTACACTGGTATGGTTATACACGTATACGGTCACAAGTATGGTCACTTTGTGTAAATGTAACGCCCTTTACAACACTAATGCAGGACCTCAGAATTGAACGTCCATCTCAGATACGACCCGGTCAAACGGGTGGAGAACATTAAAAACTCCCCCAAAAACAACCCAACTTCAAGAACACCCCGTTGGGATTTTGAACCAGGGCTATACATTCTAAAGTCCGGCATGATCTCAGTTTCAGTACAGTAACGGAACGCCCGAATCCATTGAAAATCACTGAAACTTGAAAGTGACAGAGACACTAAACCCTAGAAAAGATGGCGGAAAAAATGCCGTAACGTCACCATCAAAGAGACCGCAGACGACATACACGCACTCACGCGCGCGCGTACACACTCACACACACACACAGACACACACACACTCACTAAATTGTGACTTCAAGTTTCGTGCGATGGACAGCATGACATCGTCTGTTGAGCCCCCCCCCCCTCCCCCTGTCAAACTTTTATGACCATGAGTTAATTTTACAAGAACACCTGGAACTGAGCATTTTTTTCCTTTGAAACTCCCCTAGAGGCACAAACGTCAGAATAAAAATTGTGCTTTGAAACCGCGCGGAAGCCAAAAATGTTTGCCAAGCAAAACAAATCTACTAAAACATAAATAAAGCAAACCTAAAGATATAACTTTCGGAGGGGGCTTCAACTTCAATGGAGGTCACTGCCCCATTTCGAAAA